CTGATAAATGAAGAAGTTCGAGTGTAGAGTTTAAAGAACTATCCATCGAGGAAATGAAAAATGACCCTTGATTTAGTGAGAAACTTGGTTTTGGTTCAGAAAATCAAGAAGAAAAACCAGTCAAAAAAGATGACATTAGTAATAATGATTATAAATCCTGAACCAAAGAACAACTCATCTCTAAAATCAACCGCTTAAAAGCCGAAAATGAGGAATTAAAAAACAATCAAACTCTAACTAGTTCAGAAAGACAAACAAGATTACAACAAAATCAGCAAAAATTAGACCAAATTCAGAGTATTTTTAATTCCAAAGATACTCAACAACAACCAACTAATAATAATTTCCCTACTGGTTGAGTGGTGGGAGGAGTGTTGTTGGCAGTAATAGGTTTAATTTCCGTTCTAGTTTACAAAAAAAGCAAGCAAAATAAAAATAAAAGAAAATAAATAAAATACTATGAATTACATATTTAATAAAAACATAATAAATAGCAATACAATAAAATATACCGTTAATTCGGAGAGTGGTAAACTGACTTACCGAAATTTTATTAACCTTTTAAAAGTAAAAGATAAAAACTTTTTAAGAACATTCAGAGATGAATTAAATGGAGCATCAGCGGAATTCCCAGCCTATTTTTGGGAATGTATTCCGGTATCGAGCAACACAATTGATAAAGAATTTGAGTTCGTATTGGTTAATTCAGGAGCCTTAAACAACATTAGGCAAGATTATTCCAGTTTTCAAGAGCATTTTAGAAAAAGCAATGATGGTCAAGCAGTAAGTTTTTCCAGTTTTAGCGGTGATACTTTAATTGTTCCAGTTCCCCAAGGTGCTGATTATAAAAACATTACTAAATTCACTAATAATACTTCGTTAGAGCAATGGAATGCTCTTTGGCAAAAAGTAGGTGAAAAAATGGAGGAAAATTTAATTAATGCTGGTGGTGCTACTCGCTGATTATCAACCAGCGGATTAGGAATTAGTTATTTACATGTGAGAATTGATAAAAGACCTAAATATTATTCTCACCAAGAATATTTAACCGAAACTCAACAACGGCAAGAAATTCCTCCCAAGTAAAAATTACATAAATATTTAAAAATAATAAGGGTTTAAGGTTAAACCAATTTAAGGGGAGTTCTCCAAACTCCCCCTAATAATTAAGTCCCTCAACCTAATTATTAGAAAGAAAGAACCAAAGAAAATTTTCTCTTTCTACCAATTCAGCCAAAGGGAAATCTAAAAAAGCCTGAAAGCAAAGCACACCCAAA